ACGCGTAGGCGGTGCCTATTAATAGTGGCCACAAACGTTATAAGCCGCAACTAATGAAGGGAATGAAAGGGAAGATCACTTTCCGTCGCCAATTATCTCCGCAAACAACCCCCGCCCGGCTTCTTCTTCTTCATCACTGGAGATAAATATCGGCCTCCTAAAATTTCGCCAAAACGAAAATCAGTTGCTCGATAAAAATGATATGAATCTGCAGGGGCAGCGCGCGAGAAAATGAGCGTTTGACCTATCCGCACTGCAGGGGTCATCCGAAAGAGCGAAAAGAAGCGCAAACTGCATGTCTGCTAAGGGTTGTGTGCGGCGAGCAGTTATAAAACAGCCTTTTTTACTGCACCTAGTCCTAAACCATAATCGTATAAATTAAAATATATACAAAAAATTATTTTGAAATTTTTAAGTTAATAATTTTTTCAAATATTAAAAATGTTCATGTTATTTTTAAATTTTAATCTTATTTATTAAATATTATAAAATAAATTATTACTTTTAATTTAAACTACGAAAAAGTAGATTTATTGTCCTACTAAGCTATTACAGAAAAGCAAAAATATTTTAACCAGTTATATAAAATAAATAAAAATATTTGTTTCTATGCAAGCTATTTTCTAGAGAGTTATTGTTAACAAATGCAAACACTAATCATCATGTTGTGTCTCATTGTTGGTTAAGTTTTATGTCATGAAATATGAACAATGGTAATGAATATTAATCTATTTATAATGGATCTTTGATTAATATTAAAACTTCTCAAATATAAAGTAATATACCAATGAGTGGATTGATGGACATTGAATTGGGCGATTCAATTACATTTCGATAAGTATTATTATATTTTGGATTTGCATTTGATAATGATTGTGGGTTGTATGCATATCTTTAAAATTTCATTTACTTGAGGGCTAAATGTTAATAGATCCTAATTTTTACAAAAAAAAAATGCACAAATTAATTATGAAAGTTTTTTTTTATTGAAAATTAAAAAAAAGAAAAACTTAACTTGCGTTCAATTTTTTTTAAATAAGAATGAAATAATTGTCTAACTTAATAAATTCTTGAATAAGAAAATTACTTACAGAAATATTAAATTTTGCCTTGATGAATCTTTCATTTCGTTTTGAGGCAACGTCGGTAATGTTGCTTAATTCCATCTCGCAAAAGCTGGGATTAAGGTGCAATTTCTTCCAGCGGCAATTTAGAATTTCGAGGGCTGGCGGGGCGCGCGAGCGAGCGGCGTGCTTGCATTAATCAGTCGCGCGGGCGAGCCTTCCTCAATCTTTCTCTGACAAGTGGCTCGGCGCGAGCCAGACTTGCCGGGCCGACCGAATTTCGTCACTTTAAATTTGCAACAAGAGGCCTCGCGGTCGTCTAAATTATATACTTTATGATTATGATTTTTATTTTTAATTCCGCAGTGGGATTGAGAGTGAATAGGGAGAGGGTCGCGCGCGTCAACAAATTGAACAATATCAGCAGAGAGGCATATCAACAGCACATTACTTTGTCAGTTATGCGCCGGCGAATATCATTAAGCCGGGAGGGAGCCTCTGTGTGTGCTGAAAGCGGCGAGCGAGGCAGGTTTATTGATCTCGCTCTCAGCATCCATCCGACCCCGTGGTTGGAGTGCATTCGGTGATCTTGAACCCAGCCACGGCACGGAGCCACCTGCCTGCCGCGCGCGCTGGCCCGGCCGCGGCGCGTTTGGCTCCATTTGCGTGATTCCGTTTGATTGATAGCGCCAAACAAACCGGATTAGCCGCCTTAAATGATACTCACGTACGTTGTAGTACACGCCGCTTTGGTGCTCCGAGCACCCTTTTCCATCACAATCGTTCCACATTCGATTATTGATCTTGCTGGACTCGTATTTTTCATTTCGTAACTGAATTTTTTATGCAAATATTACACATGCAAATAAAAATAGATTGATGAAAGTAATGAGTCTTTTATAAATTTTAAATTTTATTTAGCAAAAATTCTTGAGCAAGATGTTAAATAAAATTTGAAAAACAAAAAAATTTGAATCTATGAAAAATGAAACTGGACTTCTTGTTGCAAAGAGAAGAAGTATCAAAATATAAGGTAATTGGAAAATATTTTTTCAATTTTCCTTCCTACAAGGAACCTTGTACATGTTTTCAACTAAAATTTACTTTTAATTTTATAAAATTTATTTTTAATTATTTTATTTTTAGATCAGCAAATTAATTAAAATAATTTAATCTACTTCAATATTGAAAACAGATTATTGAAAATATATCGTGAAAATATCAAGTTCACGTTTCATTTTTTTTTACGATTTTGACTGCAGCTTTTCACATTCAGTTATAATAAATTTTTTACGACTTTCCGACGAAACACAATCTTACTTGGCGCACGGATGTAAAGAATGACGTGAAAAAATTGACAATTGACGGTTTTTGTTTCAATTTATTCATGAATATGGATGAACGCGCGAGATCGAGAGTGCACTTTATCCGAGTCGTCTGATTTCATTGGTACCAATCGGCACGTACTCCACTCAAGACGGACACGAACGCGAAACCCATAAAATCAATTGCGCATTAATGTGCGTGGGGATCAGCTTAAGTGATTAATCGACGACAACAGTCATTAATAAACCACTGTACGCTGCATAATTTAATATAGAGTCTGCGCTGACCTTAAATGGAACAACTTGAAGACAGGACAAAACTAATTGATTATTTTTCAATTACAAAAAATTCGGCCGCTTTATAAATTTTCATTTCGGCGGACAGGTGCGCCGCGATAAATCACACTAACCGCGGGCAAATTAAATCGATCGGCTCAATTTCTGGTGTGCTCGGTTTTTATTGATTCGCGTTTCGCACTCTGAAAGCTGCTCCTTTAATAAATCAAATCGCTCCTCGCCAAGTTCGTGTGCAAGTGGGCACAAGTTTATTAACAAAGAACTGCGCAGTTTGCTCAGTAATTACTTTGGCCGGGAGTAAATAATAGCTCAGCCAGTGCACCACAACACTGCACCATCCTCGCGACGGAAAAAGAAAAGTAAATTGCATTAGAAGAATGAAATTGCTGAATTGAAAGTAATGGAACTCTATTTGAAAAAGTGAAAAAAAGTGAACGATTTTTTGTTCTTAAATTAATTTTCTATGTTCTCATGAGAGTTAAAAAATATTTTATTTATATCAAACTGAACAAACAAAGAAATAAAACATTTTAATTGATCAAGGTATGAATAATTTTTTGGATTCATTTTTAATTTTAAAAGTGAAAAAGTTGCAGTCTGCAAAAGTTACTATAATACACAATATATTTGTTCAATCATTATATTTCCGTTTATAAATTTCTGCCCAACATTTTAAGTATTTGTGAATTATATATGAACTAGGGAGAAGGTGGCCCACCAAGAAGTTTTAGTTTTAAATTTGGAACAATGAAATAGTATGCTGATTTATTTTATTATTATTATTATTTTTTTCCTTTTTACAAATTATTCAAATAAAAATGCATAAATAATAAAAAAGGTTATTTATTAAAGATAATTTTCTTGTAATATAAATTAAGAAATAAAATTATGCATAATATTATCATATAAGTATAAAATATTAATCAAGATTTCAAAATAAAGATTTTAGTTTCAATTATTATATATAATAACTTTTTAAATGAAACAGTGTTTACTATGATAATTCAAAAAAAAATTAATTCCATTAAAAAAATTTATTTTTTAGGCTGTCTTTCATAAATTGTTATAATTTATTTTTAAAAAAATACATAATTATCATCATAAAGTTATTCCTACAGTGGTAAATTATCTTATCATTAATTAAGTGGGCGGTTAATTGATTTTCGCTCCATTTGCGTGTAATTAACGCCGATTACCATTCTGCCGCCATAGCGCGCGGCAGCCCCTGCGAGGTAGGCAGACTGCCAGGCGTGATCAAACGCAAATTGCATTGCCAGCGCTGCTCCTTTCAGAGTGTCTTCTCCGAACTGCCTCGCAAATTGCAGCTCATGAGAGAGCGGCGGGCGGATTATTGTAACGCTGCGAATCCGGTGCATGCAATCAACCCACTGACCCATTTCCTTCTCGTGAGATAAAATTTCGCTGCGGCGGCACCACACCCTTCTCAAGAAGATAGAATTATGCAAATCGGTTAGCCAGCCAGCCTCTTGGTCTTGGCTTGTTCGGCCACTTTTTGCGCCGGCCCGGCAGGAAATGGAAATTTCACACACGGCGCGCGCCTCTAATTGAACTTTACGATTATTACCGCCCAGAACTAATTACATTAAGCGCCGGCGACCACGAAAGCTATTGCCAGGAAAAAATTATACCTTCCTGCCACGTCTCGGAAAGTTTTCCATTACAACTCGCTACTTACAGAAATTGCGATAAAATGTCATTTGCGAAAAAAACCTACTTGACATTTGAGTTGGAAAAATAAAAATGAATCGTTCTAACGAATCAGCATTTTTTTTCATTAAAATGTCACGGCCAAATATCAAAATGTCACTCTCGGAAAAGCTCATTTTCAACACCTCATCAATTAGTTGCTAGAAAATACATTTCTATTTTTAAATATTTTATATTAATTTTGAATTTTGCAGTTTCAGAGGTGCGCAGTGACTAATTGGCCAAACGTTTTTCTGAGCAACAAAAATGTTCTCATTCCATTTGTAAAAAGTCACCAAAATCATTTCAACTTTAAAAAGAAATTCAATATCTATTATTTAGTCGGTAGCAGCTAGAATTCTTGTTGAAATTATAATTCACTAAAATTTAGTGCAAATCGCTTGAAACTTCCTGCGGGTCTTTTTTAAAATAAATCATTTAAACGCAAATTTAAAACTCACTGATTGCGAGTTGAGTAGATCGGCAATTTTTTTATCTCACTTTGACACCGTAACATTAGGGGAAATTGTTTGTACACCTTTTGTTTTTAAAATATTTATGCTTCACAAATGATTGCAATCTTAATTAACATTCCATATTTCCACAGCATGCGACATGAATGTGCACAAGAGGTGCGAAGAGAGTGTGCCAAATCTGTGTGGCTGCGACCACACCGAGCGTCGAGGTCGTATCGAGATTTCCATCACGTGCGCCGGAAACAAACTCACCACCGAAAGTAAGTTCAATTTTATTTTTTATTTTATACTCCATAGATTGTGACGTTTCGCGTTGGAAAAGAAAAGATAAAGAACTGGGTCGGGCACATGTCTGGCTAGACGCCTGTTGGGATTGAATCAATGGGTTGTAATTCAATTTTTAAGGAAGCCCGTCAAAGAGATTTCTTTTCCCGTCGAAGCCGCACAAGGCGGAATTTCGCCCGCCAGAGACATACGTGGACTCCCGTGCCTCGCTGAATAAATTATACACGCCTACCGTAGATTATATTGATCAAAAGTGGTATGGCCTGATCAATAATTAAAAGCCGCAATAAATATTTATGGGCATAACTGACAGCTGACACTTAACGTCAAAATTTCCAATGAAAAATGGTATCCACCTTAATTTGGTTTAGTTAGTCGCGACGGCCCAAGAAAGATTTATGGATGTCCAAAAACATCATCCTGATTCAATTAACAGAGTCATAAATTTTTAATTGAATATTAAAAACACTTTGGCTCTTTAACTTAAAAATCAAATTAAAAAAAGGAAAAAAAATAGGTCTAGTCTTTGAGGTTTAATTTAAATATCGATTTCCTTTTGAAAATCTGAATGTCAGATTTGTAGAAAATTAATATTTTAGAAATATTAGGCGTGAAATAGCTATAAATTTTCTAGTAAAACTAGAAAATTTTCTTTTTTTGGTAAATTGGTTTTGTTAAATTTAAAATCAATAAAAAAAAAATCATATTTTTATGTTTTTTAATTAAGAGTTTCTGATTGAAATTGAGTGATGTACGTTCCTCAATGATAATTACATTTTGAAATTTACTTTGGTGCTCAATTTTTTGTTATAAATTCTAAATTTTAATCAGAAAACAGAAACTCACTTTAAAGTTTGGAATATTTACATATTTGAAACTAAAGAAAGAATGGTAAATTTTAATTATTTAATAAATTTTTTTTTTAAATTTCAGTCAAGCAGGGTAAGAATCTGATTCCCATGGATCCCAACGGCCTGTCAGATCCATACGTCAAGCTGAAGTTGATGCCAGACAATGACAGAATCAAACTCAAAACCAAGACCATCAAGTCAAATCTCAACCCGGTGTGGAACGAAACCCTAGTCTTGTAAGCTAATTAATTAATTTTTTCGCCAAATTTTAATGTTGTCACAATCAGTGATCTGAAGCCAGAAGACAAAGATCGGCGGCTGCTGATTGAGGTGTGGGATTGGGACAGGACATCCCGAAACGACTTCATGGGTTCCTTGTCCTTCGGCATCTCTGAGCTCATCAAGGCGCCTGTAATTGGTTGGTTCAAACTGCTGACCCAAGAGGAGGGAGAATTCTACAATGTGCCAGTTCCGGAAGAGGGCACTGACCTCGCAGCCCTCAAGAGCCAAATGAAGGTATTTAAAAATAAAAAAATACGATTAAAATTTTTGAATAAAAAATATAAATTTTTCTCTATATCTGTCCCCCAATTTTTCTTCTCAGCCACCGTTGCCATTTTTAATTTAACACTCTCCAAGCACAGACCATCATTCAAAGTTATTCCTCTTTCAAATATATTTGATATTTACATATAAATGTGCTGAAATAATTCTCTTACGCTCTTCATGTGGAATGTGACCTGATCATTGGGTGCCAATTGTTCCTAAACATAATCACCACATAAAACTGCAGTCTTTCATTAACATATAAAATGATTCCATTTTCGGCCCTGCTGGGTTTTCAGCATGGAGTGAGCCAGGTACTAAAATGGCATGCCCTACTCGTTTCATGTTCCAAAGGCAGTGAATCAAATTTAATCAAAAACTCCAATTTTCTCCAATCACTAACATTATTTTGATTAATCTACCATAAATGACTTTTTTGCCGCTGATCACACAGCCAGGATTCTCTGTACAAGTATAAAAAAATCATTAATTAAAAGGAATGAAACTAGTTCAGCAATTTTTAGCTATTTAGAATTCACTGTCGTTGAAAATATAAGTGTTGGAATGTTCATATCAAAACCTCATGCATGATTATTCATAAAAATCATTTCTCTGAACTTCACCTCATAATTGTAAATACACTTAATGTCAATTTCTCTTGCATGCACCTATGAAACTCTTTTACATCGTTGAACATCAAAGTTCGATTCAGTAAGAACATTTTAATGTTTTTTATTGATAAAAGAAATAACTGATAGTTATTTGGAATGCTTCCGTAGGATAATAAGTTTAAAGTAATTTTATACATAGGCAAAAAAATTTATAACGAGGAAGTTCTATAAAAAATAGAAACTCCGACAACACTGTAAAAAGCTTAGTTATTTTTTTTTTATAAATTCAAAGCAGTATTTAAGAAAGTATTTGCATTTTAGAAATCTTCGATCACCAAGAAACCCACCATGATGGCAGACAAGGAGGTGCCTCACAACATGGGCAAGAAGGACATGATCAGATCAACAGATTTCAACTTCCTCATGGTGCTCGGCAAAGGAAGCTTCGGAAAGGTATGCAAATTTTCAAACCCGATTTGGATAGAAATGAGAAATAATTTTATCGATGATCAGGTCATGCTCGCCGAAAGGAAGGGAACGGACGAGCTTTACGCCATCAAGATTTTGAAAAAGGACATCATTATTCAAGACGATGACGTTGAGTGCACCATGGTTGAGAAGAGAGTGCTGGCACTTTCCAACAAACCGCCCTTCCTGGTGCAATTGCATTCCTGCTTCCAAACTATGGTAAACTTGAAAATATTTTAAAGTCGGCGTTGAATACTTTAATTGGGAATATTCCAGGATCGCCTTTATTTTGTCATGGAGTATGTGAACGGTGGTGATCTCATGTTCCAAATTCAGCAGTGTGGAAAATTCAAGGAGCCAGTCGCTGTGTATGATTGAAAATTTGATAACTTTACTTTCTGAAAGAGATTTTAAAACAAATTTTGTCCTTTTTGCTTTGACAATAATAAAATTCTTCCTATAAAATTTGCAGGTTTTATTCAGCAGAAATTGCCATTGGCCTGTTCTACCTCCACACCCGTGGTATTGTTTACCGAGATTTGAAGCTGGACAACGTTCTGCTGGACCAAGATGGCCATATCAAAATTGCTGACTTTGGCATGTGCAAGGAGGGCATCGCCGGTGACAAGACGACGAAGACCTTCTGCGGCACCCCCGACTACATTGCCCCTGAGGTTTTTCTATTTATGAAAGTTCTTGAAATAAAGATTATTAAATTTTTAAAAATTTTCAGATCATTCTGTACCAACCCTATGGCAAGAGTGTGGACTGGTGGGCCTACGGAGTGCTGCTGTACGAAATGCTGGTCGGCCAGCCACCCTTTGACGGGGAAGACGAAGAGGAGCTTTTTGCTGCCATCACGGACCACAACGTTTCCTACCCCAAGTCACTCAGCAAGGAGGCGAAGGAACTGTGCAAAGGGGTAAAATCCTAAAAAAATTATTGAAATTAAATATGCTTAATATTTCGAAATAGTTCCTGACCAAAAACCCGATCAAGCGTCTCGGCTGCAGCTCCAGTGGCGAAGAGGACGTCCGAGGCCATGCCTTCTTCAGGCGCATTGACTGGGAGAAGATCGAGAATAGGGAAGTTCAACCTCCATTCAAACCCAAGATTGTGAGTGATTGTTTATGATGTTTTTTTGTCTTGCTAAATATTTGCATAATATGATATACCTAGAAAACAAGAAATCATACAAAATTTGATGATTTTTAAAATAATTTAAACTGAAATGCAATTTCTATTTTTTTTTTATTAAGTAATATCCTTATTATAAATCCAATTTAATTTTAATGTCAAATAAGTAATCGAAACATTGTCAGCGGAAGATTTGAAGTTGTTGAATTGAAAATATCCCTTTCATTGAGATTAGATTTTTATTTAATATATTAATTTATTGATCTTTTTAAACAAATAAAAAATTTCCTTATTGTTGATTAAAGATAAATCTAAAATAAAAAAATTAAAAAAAAAAGGATAATAATGTAAATATTAATTATAATAATTTATTAATTTCTAAAATTGATACAAAAGGCCACTAGTTTATAACATAGTAAAAATAATTTTTGTATGTTATCTATTATGTAACAAAACAACTGAAATATTTTTTTTTTTCAGAAACATCGCAAGGACGTCAGCAACTTTGACAAGCAGTTCACTTCGGAAAAGACAGATCTGACACCAACGGACAAGCTGTTCATGATGAACCTGGACCAGACCGAGTTCATGGGATTCTCCTTCCTGAATCCCGAGTTCGTTCAGCACATCTAATAACACTATGCAGCGAGCGCGTCTGTGTCCTCGTCTTCTGGTATGAGAAAAGCTGCAATATTTTCTTGTACTCCCTCTTGCTCTACCTCCCCAGCCTGAGTACATAATTAACAATGTATTTAAATGCTATATTATATATACATTTAATGAAAGAAAGAACAACAACACAGACTCTCATAATACACACTCAATATTAAGGGACACACACATCACACACACCGAGTTGTTGAGGTTAACTATCTCTCGAGTAAAAGACGGAGTTGTCTTTAATTAGAAACACACTCCTCTTTAGCTAGTTATGGAAAAGAGTTAAGTGTTCATCATTCTATATTTGAGAGAGAGAAAAAAAATAACTATTCTAACCAAAATGAAAAGAACCCCATCTCTTTATGCAGAAGACAAAAAAAAAGTTAAAAGGCAGGAATTATTCTGATGTATATGTGCACCAGAGAGATAATTGTAAAATTAAGCATTCAATTAAGAATATTTCAATATTTCTGACTAACTGAATGTGAGTCTTAAAATATTTGCATCTATTATTGATGGCAAGGACAAGAGAGAGATAATATAGTGACAAGCGATGAATTAAAATATATAAATCCAAAAAATACCTTGATGTGATTCTGCTCTACTAAAAGGCTATCGAAGTGAAGATTTATAATCATAAAATTCTCTCAAGTTGAGTAGTTTTTTCAAACTGGCAATAATAACTAATGGAAAAAAGAGGGTGGATATATTTCAAGCAAAACTGTAGCTTAGAATTTCGAAAAGGACCGAGAGAAAAGAAAGAAGATGCGAAATCGTTGAAAAAGGGTACCACTTTGCCTCTATCCCCCATCCTCTCTCTGATGTTCATGTTCAAGAGACTTTTACCAATTTAGAGGAACTATAAAATATATAAACTACTTTTGCTCACTGATATAAAACTACTTGATTATGATTTCGGGTAGATGATTCTTTTTTCGGTTCGCTATTCTGCACCAAGGAAGGCATTCGGAAAGGGTATATCGAGAGTACGTGGATTTTTTCAAAAGAGTAAAATGATGAAACAAAAATTACGGAATGCCTCCTTGAGAACGTGAGAGGAAAAGGACGAGAGGCCAGTAAAATGTAATCAATCTGGCTGTGAATATTATTTCACAAACAAAACACACACGTTTTACAAGGTGTATTAGTTAGAGCGTCAGATGAAGTCTCTTCCCTTTCAGTAATCCTTGATATTGTTGCACCATTATGGCCTATCATGAGTACATGTGAAAAAATGAACAAAATCTCTACTGATTCCTGGTACCTAACAAAATTAGGACCAGACCAAGAATAATTTGTCTCTCTGCTGAACGGTTTATATTCTCAATCTCGGTAATTAGGCCTACAAATATTCAAATCTTCAGCGGGTTAATTTAAATTTTACCAATAAATCAGTATTCCTTAAATTCCACAGTCTCAAGTGGTCTTATATACGAGTCCTATCTATATAATTGTTATTTTGAGTTAGAATATAATTTGCTCGATTTAATCGAACTAACAAAAAACTACTTTCCAGCTAATTGAATTTAAAAAGAAGTTTATTCCGATTTGATATAGACGTGTTTTAAATAAACCTTGACGTCCATCAAACCTTGCACAAGATTGAGTCACAGTATAAAATCCTTGGCACTGACAATGAGAGCTTGGTTGAAAAATTTCAAATTTGAGAATTTCAATTAATTGGTGTTTTTAATGTGTCTGAAAGAATTAAGAATCGTTTCGAATACGCAAAGCAGTCGGTGTCCATTTTCACTACTTTTTGTAAAATTCATGTACTTAAATCGTTATACTGAAGGCCTGAATATTGAGGAATGAACTGTTTGCTACTTTCTTATGAAAAAATATAATACCTTGTGCTACTACCGATGCTAAGTAAGGGGAAAATGAATATTTTAAAGACGGTTGGTTTCGGAACGTTTCTCTGTTAGCGGGCAGGAACTGAGTTGTAGGATCAGTTTTGATTCGTGTGAATTTAGCACGTTGCTTGTGTAATTTAAAAAAAAATATATATATTGTAGTAAAAAATTTCCAAACGTCTTTCATGAGATATGTGTAAACATAATTCAAGACAATTAAATTAATACTCCACACACAAACACACGTACACACAGTGTTAACAAAATATTATATATCAATCACTCACACACGCGAACACACTTTTCACGAGCAGACAATTTATAAAATTGCCAAATCTTAATACTTGTAGGATAAATAGCTAATCTTGTAGGTTAATTATTTCGACTTCAACCAACCGTATTTAAGCAATACATACTTCACGATTTTTTGTGTCAAAGTTCTTGCATTTTTTGTACCGATCCGTGTGTTTAAATAGGCCTATTGCAGAAAAAAGTATTCCGATTTTCACATGGATATTAAGGGAACAATGTTATACAGAGTGCTTTTCAAACGAAACATTGGCGAATTCCTAATCTGCTGTTTGATTGTCAATTTCCGATTACATTATCAGAGTGCGAAAGAAAACAAACTCTCTCTTTACGAGACTAGGACACGTATTAATTAGGCGGTGAAAAAGCTCTGGAAAAGAAAGCGCCCTTAATGGAAACAATAATTTCCTAGAGCTTTTGAATCGGCAGTATTAGCTGAGATAAAAAATATTGTTAGCGAGTACAAAACTAAACAATTCGCGACAAACCCTTAATTACTCAAACTTTATTAGAACCAAGGACTGGTGCAAATAAACAATACAGGTGCGAATCACGTGAAAACCCTTCTTTTCTTCTGTTTAGAATAATATAATTCATAATAGTCGGAGAAAAAAAAACAATACTCGGAATAAAATATAATTATTGATTGTGGCCGTTCTAGAAAAATTCCTCTAATCTAGAGTAATTAATTAATAATTAAGGAAATAAGGATTTAATCACTGGAAAAGAAATCAACTCTCTTCAAAGGCCTAAAGTCTGTCAAATAATTTTTCTACGTCAATGCTTAAAATAGTTTCCAAAATCCTGTATGAACTCGAATGTCTCTTGCATCGCCCCCCTCTGGAACGTCTTCCCTGAGTTTTTTCAACAAATATGCGTAGAAAAAAATAACCCTTTCCCGTCTTCCAGAGCGAGTTTAATTTTAGATACTTTCTATAGCCAGAGTTTTGCCGCGTGTCTACTTTCCGTGCCATTCTTGTCATTTTTACTGACTTTTCGCCACCCACAAAAGTTCAGGTTTTTATTTGCTGAAAGAGGGAAAGAGCATTTTTCAGCTAGTCTTCGTAAGTGTTGTTGAAAATCCAAAATATAATATATAAATCTTTAAGTGGTCCATTTCGCAAGTTATTCATTATAATTATTCTGTACGGATAAATTGAAAATTAATGTTATTTATTAACAGCAATGAGAAGATACTGCGACATTCCAATTTTATTACGATTATATAATGTATGTTATTACTTATTAAACACGACTAATACACATTTTAATTCCCGCGCTTTAATTATTTAAAAATTTTATTATCGTTCATGTGTTGGATAATTATAAAAAAAGCAGATTTGCGCTTGAGAATCATGTTCAGAAATAAAAAAAAGAGCTTCTTAACTCCATTTTTAAATCTGATTGTACGTTTACTCAGACACCTTTTTGAGACTTTCAATGTGTTTTAATCATGTTATTAAAAATTGCTTTATGTGACAGTGACTAAGTGTTAAAGAAATATAACAAATCCGTTTTCCATATACATATATTATTATAAGAAACTTCTCTGTATTTTATCAGGCAGAAATTTATTCAATAATATTCCATCGGCCTGTTGTTTAATTACCGTTTACAAAAAAAAGTTAAATTACCGCCAGTTACGTGCATGCTTCTTGATATTTTGCTTTGAATATCTGATAAAAAATTATGTTGAACGTATTGAAATATGCTATTTATCGCTTGATTGATTTCATTCCAGGAAAAACACATTTTGATTTAGTAAAAATGTCTGATCGTTAAGTTTTGAGCTCAGTTGTTAAGCGCCTGGTTCTTGCTTGAGTTACGTGGAAACTCTTATAACATGTATTTATCTTTTTCTCAATAAATTTAGCTATTTTGTACAAAATGAATAATTTGTGTTTGATTCTTTAAAATAAACTTTTATTGGCATAAATAGATATGACCTACATTTTATAAAAATGTGATACTGGGGCAGATGCTAGAATTAATTAATGAATATTTTTTCTCACAGTGCTCATTGTAGAGAAAAATTGTGATTAGCCATGATTTAAAAACTATTTTTTTCTCATTAATTAAATAAAAATTTAAGTTAAATGTTTTAAATCAACACAAACATTGTTTTAATAAAACATAAAATCAAATTTTAAATCATACTCAATTTTATGAATGCACCTCATACTTTTTTATAATGCAGGAAAGGATAAAGATTACAAGAAGTAGTAAGTACAATCATGGAATGGTGCAGTGAGTTGAATAATATCTTCTTTAATCTTGCCGAGCGTATGCCTATTCAATTTTCAGTCTTTTCGCGAGTGCCATTTGGCAAATTACAATTTCTCTGTCGGCTGCGGCGACGAAGATCGATCACTGCTCGAGTCTGCAAGGGCAAAAAACAGAATGTCAATCTACACAGGATGGTGTGAAAAAAGTCGTACCTTGAACGGAAGCGGCTTTGGCCTGCAGATAATCAGCGCTGTTCCACGGCTGCGTTTCCCCAGAGCCGAAAATGACGAACACCGAGTTGCCCACGACGTAAATCGCGGCCGAAATGAGCCACACGATGCGCCATTGCTCAGCGTCGTGCTGTCAAAAGTGAGAAAAAATTGCTCGCTTTGTGCCAGGTCTTAAGGGATTTGAGTGATTTACCTTGTCGGTGACAATGAAGCCGACCACCAGGGGTCCGAGGATGCTCATGAAGTTGCCCAGGCAATTTGTGATGCCCATCATTGTGCTGGCAAAGTTCGGAGACAAATCTATGTGGTTGACCTTTCAGAAAAAAAATTTAGTTAAATAAAAAAAAGTAGAGGTAATTTTAAAAATGCATTTACACAGTAAAATCAAAACTAATTTAGATTATTGCAAACTCAATATCATATTTTGTTTTTAGTATGTAAAAGATTAAAATGAGCGTAAACCTTGCGATTGAAAAAAAACTGTTAGAAAATTAAAATTATAGGCATTACATTTTTCCTTATTTATTCCTCCAATCTATAATATCAATATTGTTATTTTTGTTTCATTATAATAATAATAATAATAATAACTGCCAGGAATAAAATGAAGAGACACAAAGGAGAAAGGTACCTATATAATTTGCATCAATTACAAAATTTTAGAGCTCCAGCACATTGGATTTAAAATAAAATTTAATTCTGAATTTTAGCTAAATTGAAAAATTATCGATGACGTTTTGGAAAAAACTGTTTTTTTTTTAAGGAAACATAAATTGTAATTAATGTGTAAAAATATGTAGAAAATTATTTAATAGAAAAATTTAAAATTTGTAAACTATAAATTATTAATAATACTCATTAAAAAAAATAATTACTCTATAAAATATAAATAATAACGCGGAACTATATGTTTTCATCTTTACTCTCTATTAAGCTGATTGTGAATTGTAATTTGGATGTACATGAACGTATATTACCTGGTATCCGACCATGGTTCCTGCATTGAGGGAAACAGCGACGATCAAAACGCCCACCGCGCCTGCTTGGGAGGCGCTCATAAAGCCCAATGCAACCAGCCCTACCGCTCCGCCGTAATGAGCTGCAACATAAAGTGTCAGAAAAACTCCTCTCTCATTAAACGGAATTTTTTGCTCACCAATACTGTTGCCTATTTTCCTGGAAGTACCGATGCTGTAACAGTTTTTCTTCAAAAGCGTGTCGGACACCCAGCTAATGATGAGACCAAAGGCCCACAGGCCCAAATAAGGTAGCGCCGACAACAGACCGTTCTGAATTAAGAAATTAAATAATGAAAAAAATACTCATTTAAGTCGCTCGGAGGAATGAATTACCGCTTTCAGGTTGAAGCCGAGAACACCGTCCATGTAGGAGGGAATTTCGGTCAGCAGAGTCCAGAAGCCCCAGTTTTGGGCACAGTGGACCACTATGAGCGCCCACATTGGCACCGAAGTTAATATCGCCTTCCAAGGCGTTCGTAGTCTCTGAAAATAAATTTTTTTTATGACTAAAATAAAATTTAATTATTTATTTCCTGAAATTTAATTTTTAACATGAAACGAAATTTGATTTTAGGTGAAAACTTTTGTGAAAAATTTTAAATTGATTTAAGAAAAAAATTATATAGCGCCTGTTAAGCTAAATATTAAAAATTTGACTCTCTTTTTAATGTGATTTTCTTATATAAAGAATTATTAAAACGAAGGGCGATTTTTTTACAAAATTAGATGAAAATTTGACTACAATAATCTGGATTATCATTAGATAATATATAGGTTAAAAAGGAAGATAAAGACGATTCTAGATCATTTGACTAGATTAAATCTAATGGGCAAATTAAGATTTTAACCTCTACATTTGAGGGAAATTTTAAAACTTTTAATTATTAAAATTTTTAATTTGAAAAATCAAGAAATATAAATTCGATTTTCATAATTTTTGTACATACCTGTGAGCTGTCAGTGATGGGTTTGATTCCGATGCTTGACTCGATGTAGCTGCGCTCGTCCTGCGACGTGAGTTTGTGCGTGGCCGGCGAGTCGGCGGCCAGCAGGATCCAGAGGGCCGACGCGAACAGGCCGATCGCCCCGGTCGCGTAGAAAACCCACGGCCAACCGGCCGAGGCTGCGATCAGGCCTGAACAGGACATGGCGACCACGGTGCCGAAGGGCTGACCTTTCGGGAAGAGCGTTGGATTAGTGAAAGAGAAGAGAATTGTCTAGCGTTAATTGGGAATACATCATTTTCCCAAATTAATTCTAAAATTAAGATATCCGTTACAGTTAATTATATTAATAAGATTTCCACAAACTTGGCGACACGCACAATTCTTTTCCTTCGAAACTATAACATCAGTGTCATATAAATTCATCCAGCGATAATATTCAAATTTACATTTTTTGATAAAAGTTCATGTTTTTTGTAATGCATAAAATTTTAATTCAACTATATGCAGGACCAGTTATTGTTTAACTAGTTATAACAATTATGTAGTAAACAATTTTTATATTTATTTAAAAAAAATATTAAAAATAATATTCACTAATTCAATAATTGATTTTCAAGAAAATAGAAATTTGTAAATAAGTTAGTAATATTTATTATGAAAAATTTAAAATGTAAAAAAAATGAGGTTTTAAAGAGATAAAATGAATTTAATAAACAAATAAAAATTAACATTGTTCTTTTTAAACTAATTAATTAACTTTTAAAAACTTTACAAAAAATATAATGTTAACATAGGTTCAATACTATCAATTTTATACATTCTTGAATGCTCACAGGCGCCTAAACTTTTTCTTCGTGGCACACTTCACACTTTACATCTATCACGTGTATTATAATTTAAATTTATTATTCACTTACCTGTGTACGCGTAAACAGACATTCTTCCTCTCTCGCTGGGTGGTGACCATTTGGCCAAAAGGGCGTGGGTGCACGGAAGCAGGCTGCCCTGTTGGCGTCACACAACAACTCAATTACGATTATTTTTTATTCCTTGTGCCGAAAAACAAAACTGGATCTGATACAAATCTTAATTTTATACTGAGAGACACTCGGAAATACTTTTTTTAACTTGTGGATTTCTCAACTTTTACTTACTCCTTTCTCTGTAGGATTGCCAAAGAATAGGCGTGTGAAGGAAAAACATTTGATTTAAGATAATAAAAAAAGTATAAGATGTATTGTAAAAAATAGTATTTTATTAAAGAGTTAAACGGGCACTGACCTGAGCGAGTCCGAGGATGACCCTGGCCACGCAGGCCCACTCCCAGCCCCATTCGGCGGCCGTCGGGAAGAGCAAAGTGGCCGCCGTGCCAGCGAGCATCATGAAGAAAAGCAGTTTGGTGGCGCTGAACCTGGAAGCGATGTACCCTGAGGGCACCTGGGTCACGATGTATCCCCAGAAAAAGGAACTTAGGATCGTCCCACGCACAGTCTCATCCCAGTCATAGTGCTAAAAAATGAATTTAAATTCAATAAAATTTTTTGTAAAAAAGAAGACGATATTATTTATTTTTTATGATTATTTTTGGTGCTTGGATCGTACAGTAATTAACAAGTTGGCTTGGCCTTTTTTTTAATTGTATCTGAACTTTTTTTTAAATTGAAATAACTCAGACCATCCCAAAGTCAAGAACGATTTAACAAAAAAATGCTAAATTTAATAATTTTTTAATTAATGTTGGAAAATTTAAACAAACAATATATATTGTGTTGACTCTAATTATGCATAATATGCATTAAGTAAGTACAATTTGTATTAAAAAAATTCTCCAAGAATCTCAGTCTCAAGTTTTTCCTTCAAGTTTGAGACTTGATTATTTCTGATCTTGCGGAGAGGCGAATAAATGGGTTATGCGCTTTGGCCGCAGTCGCACCACGCTCGTGTCTTTTAATTTTAAGGAAGCAATTTGCCGCGCGCACGACGGTGACCATTAATTTACGAGCGGATGTCAAAGAAATTGGCTTACGGGGACATTTTCGGGACCCTCGACGCCAGTGCTGTTCTCCACAGTCATGGCCACGATGGCCACCGACAAATTGACACGCATCAAGTAGCCGACGGCGTTTGCCAGGAAACAGCAAAACACCACCAGGTACCTTATCTTCAGCCACGTTCCTCTGCCATCTGAAAAAATAAAATATTGAAAAAAGATTATTAATATGGCGTTTTTGAAGGAGTATCAGATTTGTGTATTGATTTAAAAATAAATTTAATTGTGACCATTTTTTCATGTAGCTTGAAAGGAGCAACAAAGAAAATTAATTGACCATTGATCAAAATAATTCCTGCATTTTTACTTCATAGTAGTTTTTATTGTTAAAGGTTAACTACATGGTTGGCTCAGTATTGTTGCATATTGATAAAAAATAAAATGAGATAATTTTTTCTTAATTCAACAATTAATTCCTATATAAAAATTATCTTAATAAGCTACTTAATGCCTTTTGATTTCATCATTAAGTGACCGGAAATCAAACCTTTCCAGCACGAAAAACCAATTATCTTTTGAGAATGTAAGAAACTTAATTTGTCCAATATAATTTATATTATAGTTGTACCATTTAAATCTCAATATTTTAATTTAATTCTATTAAAGAGACAAAACAAGCATGTTTTTAATATTATTTTTATAGTAAAAAAAATAATTAGAAAAATTAAAATAATATCTTGAAGTTTTAAATTAAAAAATAATAAGTAAAAAACTCTTGAATTAAATTTATATAAATAATTAATTTGTTGTGCAACACATTAAATTTTAAAACTGAGTTTGGCTAAATCTTTTGAATTCGGCAGCAACGCTTCTGTTCGAGGTCAAAAAATTACAAACCATAAAGCAAAGAGGATCCGGTGTTTTTATAGGACCATTAAAATGTCCATTAAGAGAATTCCTCTGCATCGGACGGTGTATAAAATTAAAGCAGGCGTGAGAGAGTAGCGGAATATTTATCGACGGCCCCGTTCGCATTCATACATAGTTTCGTCAGAGCAATTAATTTACGGCAAAAGCAAATTACGCCGACAATAAATCATCCGCGTGTTTGCTCAAATCACGCGTACGCGAGCAGACGAGCTTCATAGGATCAACCGCACACACACATGTTGTGAAAATCAGCTGCCGATACATAATTATACAAAGTAAGCTGCTCGGTGATTAAATTCAAATAATTATCTTCGGCACGCTTATCAGAGCGGCTGATCGATCCGAAGAGATTAATTAAACGCTCGTAGAGAGCAGAAGATTGTTTTTCTGGGCTAGAGAATGCAAATACGATTGTTGAGAAGAGAAGCCGCGGGGAGCCAAATATTTGTATCGGATTACGACGGTAGAAAAAGAGATAATCACCGAGTTGGAGAAAGAGAGGATGGAAATTACAGTGTAAGCCGAGAGCCCAGCCAGAATATTTATATAATTTGATCCTCGTTGTCAAATTAAGAGCAGAAATCCTGATGAAGACAAAAAATATGCAAATTTAAATTTGTTTAGGCCGACAGGAAAATTACGGTTTGAAATTCAAGCTGCTCCCGACTTGATAATTGTTGATTGGATTTTTTTAAGAGAACAACTCTCAACCTGAAATTATTTTTGGTGCCGTTTTTTCGTTTGATAAATATTTACCTGCTCTTTCGAGTCTCTCCGAAAGTCTGCGAGCGGTCAGATCAATCCACGATAGACGACCTTGGCGTATTTCAGACTGCAAACCTGTTGGACAGAAAAATACATTACGCACTCGATCGCGAGTCAGTCAGCGCAGTCGGTTGATCTTGATCGACTTTTGCAGCGTGTGTGCTTTGTGCACACCAATAAACGATGTATAAATTTATAAAACTCCATACATGGATTTTCGCAACCTGGCTGCTGTGTGAGTCAGTTGAAAAACGCCCAAACAATTCTCTTTTAAATTCCAATGAACTTGATTTTGGCAGGCTTTTTTTTAATTTATTGAGACAGAATTTTAAAATTTTTGAATGTTCAACGAGTGAAAATCATGAAAAAAATCCATCTTTGTTTTTTATTTTGAAAGAATCGTTTAACTAAAAAGGTTTCTACAAAGAAACTTTTATTAAATTTTGGACAGGCTAATCATATAATTATGTTGTTTTAATTATCCAGAGAGTTCCTGGTGAGTAAAAATCCGCAGCCTGGATGCAGTTTTTAAGATAAAAATGTTCAATTATGAAATGTAAATTACAGTTAAAAATTCAAACAATAATTTGTTATTAATAGATTTGAGCTCCACATATTTATTTTCAATACAAAGTTACAAAATATGTGGAAACACACAGGTCCTTTTTTCCATCTAAGATAATTATTTTATATAAGATTTTTAAATTTGTATACCCACAACCAATTTGTTTTGATATCTAACAGGCTGAATATGCAATTCGTCTTCGATTAGAATTTAATTGCACCGAAGTACTGATTAATTCAATTGAAAGATTCATGAAAAACAATGAACCAGCAGAATAAATCTTTTTGAGGTCTCTAATTAAAAGATAAACATAAGAATATTAATATGAATAAATTTTATCACTTAATTGCTTCTTATATCATAATATTTTCAATAAACACCATTGAAAGTTTTAATTTCAACTAATTTAATAATGTCGAATTGCTCGTGATCAATATACATCTCTGCCAAAATCCAGAGTAAACAAATTTATAGCACTTACAAATTTCGCAAGTCTGCATCGCTACATTTTAGCAAAGGAGTGGCAGAATAATAAAATAGTAATTCGATTCTAATAGGTGGGAATTTATTGTCGTCCATTACAAGGAGCGCCTTCTTGAACGTTTATTTACTCTCTAAGTACTGCAAGTTTTAATCTCTATATCTGCAGAGAGTGTCTGAAAGTTGATTGCGAAATTTAAATGAATTTTATCATTTCATTTCAATCTCGGCGGGATCGTTTTACAAAGGCACAACATCTGTTCTTTTTGTACCATCGTCGCGAGCAAGTACGTCGTGCTCCAATTTAAAATACGTTTTTTTTCGGCGTCTGACTGACTAAGCCGAAGCTGGGCGGGAGGAGAGATCGAGCGGCGATCTCTGTGCACACATACCTGAATGACTGGCAGGATGCTGTTGGTCCGCAGGTGTTTGGTCCATCTTGAGCTGGACTTCATCCGCCGAGGCCTCGGGCACCGCCTTGTTGCTGCTCTGCTCGTCCATGTGCTGCAATTGAGGGCCAAAAATTAGCCAAGCCGAGCGCAGAACTAGGACGAGAACTTTCTTATTTCTGCGGACGATTTTCGTCCGTCAACCCGAGTGGAAACACAAAGCGAAGGAGAGAGAAAGATGAATGTTGCCGGAGAAGGGACGGCAAATCAGAGTAGAATTTTTGAAATGCCAAAAATTAAAGGCGTAATCAGACCACTTGCCAGCTGGTTTAATGGACCAAAAATTGCGGAGAGATTATTTTTCTTTTAGCAGCCACACTCTAATTTTTCAGATTGCGAAAACTTGTTTTGAACCAAAAGGCGAGTGGATAATTTTTTTAGTGTTTAAATAGGTGAAAAAATCTGACTTTAGAGTTATTGATCATGAAGTAAATGTTATAGAAAACCTTGAAGGAATGATTTTACAGTTGGATGTTGACGAATAAAAATTATAAAATAATATTTTGGACGAGCAATTATTTTAAAATTGTAATAAATTTAATTTTATTATATTTAAAAATATTGAGTGAATTGCATCTATAATTTATTAGAGCTTTGTGAGCTAGTTTAACTATTTTTATTGTCTCATGTATCAATCAAAATATTCAAAATTATTTGTAATGCTACTTTTATAAATATAGTGCACAAGGCAGTGAGTCACTGATCACCGTAATACCAATAAATGTTAAGTCTAATTCATTATGCAATATCTTATGCTGCAAGTTGAAGTATAAATAAAATTATTAAAAAATATTTTAAATAAAACAATTACAGTTTTAATCTCCTTTGAAACTTTTGTTTCAAATATTAAAAAATAAATAATATTTACAGTAGAATATGATTTAAAATCAATATTATTTTGATAAACATTTAATAATGAATAAAAAATTGGTAAAAAAATTTATTTTATTGTTTAAAAAAACATTTTAATTTTAATGTCAATTGCAATAAACAGAAATTAATCAAAATTACGATAAATAACCTCCAAATATGAAATTCAAATGAATCCGTCTCGCAATTAATAAAATTGGCAACGCGAATAAAATTACCATTTAATACCTCCCGGGTGCTTCCATTTCGAGTTAGCCTGCGATTAATCACGCTCATAAAACGAAAATAAAAAAGCCGAGGGAAAAACCAGTTGGTGTGAAGGAACTCAAATACGAGTTCGGTTTTGAAAAAAAGCCGGTCACGTGCTGCAAAAGCAGCGGGAGTGGCTTTAAAAGAACGAAATCTTTCTTTCTCTCTTCAGACCCTTTCTCTGCGCAGCGCCGTTCCTTTTTTCCAAATAATAAACGGCACCGTCGGGCAGAAACAATGCAAATGAATCGTCGTGCACGAGTAATAACTAATTTCCACTAATGTCTGCCGGCTGAATGTTGTCGTGCATAAATAAATTTAATTCCGTTGTCGGAGATGCATAATAAATTAAGAGAGAAAAATGAAATAAATTGCTCACTCGGAGCAAAACATAATTTTCCGCTCGAATGCATTTTTTTCTGATTTTGCAGTCTGCATTTTCGCACGACCAGGTGACTAATGAAGGTGCCTACCCGATTCATAACAAAGCCTTGGTCAATAGCGAGGCTAATGAATTATCTCTCTCGCCATTAGAATAAAGCAAGGTTGCCGCCACTGCGCACTGCATTCCAAAAATTATTTCGCACCTTTTTGAAACAATGAGTACCTTTTCTGTGCGCGTTTCCGGCGATCCGGTCACGTGTTGCATCGCACCATTATTTATTTTTTGTAACGTGACAATAATTGATTCTAACTTTTCGTGACGGGCTGTCAACAGATTTGCTTGAAAATCAAGTCGAGAGAGATTGAAATCTGGCAGAGGGACGAAAATCGGTCACCGACTCGAAGACACACAATGGCCTGGCACACCCAGAGATAACCGCAATAAATTAAGACGGACTAGCTCTCCATACACTTCTCTTTCGGCTGTTATGAGAAAGTGTCGCGCAGGCGAGGATAAACAAAAAATAAACAGATGAAGTCTGAAGTTGACGACTCGTGTCTGTCAGACTTGTCACATTTCGTTGTGAATTACAGATTAAACTGTTCTGATAGGCAAATTTATACACTTGAGTTGTCATATTGGGCTTGAATGAATTTTAATCTGTTGATATTGAATTTTATTAATCATTAAGCAATTTAATCATGAGCGGATGGAACATAATTGTAATTGGAATGAAATATCAAGAAAAATATTCTAGACCTTTCTGTTCGAGATAAGCATTTGATTTTTGGAAATAATTATGAATGCAAAGAAGCCGATTTTTGTTTATTTTGGTATGAATAATAAATAAAATAAATTTCATTAAATAAATTAGAGAATGATTAAGTACTGGAGGAAACGCTCATGCAGTTAGATTGTTGTTTAAATTGTTCAAATTATTTCCTGTAAACCAGCGAGTGCCAGCACCTGCATTATTTATTTTTATAAAAGGGTCGCATACCGAGATTGAAACTAGTTTATAGAGCCGCTTTGTTATTAAATAATAACATTTTCCTTCACAAGGAAAGCCCGTTATTTTACTGCAATCAATCCTAATCGTTTCTAATTCTAATTAAAATTTAGCGCCTGTATTCAATTTTTTTTTTTTAAATAAATTTAAAAAAGGCAAATGTAAAGTACCAATACAAACTTAAATAATGAACTACTTTGCTAAATTCTAAAATTGCACCTTTTTTCAGCAAGTTTGAAATTGAGTTAAAGAATGAAAAAAAAATTGAAAACATATTTCTTTGGTTTTTTTTTTAAATTACTTTTCTTTAGAAACAAATAATAATGGATGCAAAAAAACTTTGCTTTTGAATCATAAAATTTTAAAAAACTCCTTGATTTGCTAATAATTATTTTTAAATATATATATTTTTTTTTTTAAATTAGAATGAATCTTACGCTATATATGTTTGTAGACTATTGACAACGTTGATCTTCTGTGTACCACTAGTTTAAAGTCACTTTGTCAGTCGCCGTCTGACGATAACTGTTGAGCCTCGAATTACACAATATAATTATTATGCACCGAGGAGGCACGCACAAGCAGACCGACAGACACTAGGGATCATCAGAGAGTAGTGGATCTCGCAGCAACATGCACACTCATCAGGCCAAAGGTATCAACTGCGACTAATCTCCACACGCTCCGCAAACACGCCGTCCGCCCGAGTCCATTCACAAGAGAAGGGATAGGAAGCAAAAATCTCTTTCGCGAGAGATGCATCCGCCACTTTGTTGTTCGAGATAAATCTTTATTGGCCCAGCACGAAAATACGATTTGTTTTTAACTTTTTACAGGGTTTATTTAAATATTTTTATTCCTCTTCGCCGGTGGTCATTATTTTTGTATAATCAGCAACGAGTGTGCGGCCTTCGCGAATCACCAGCAAAAATATGAAAAATGAGATTAAAAAATGTGCACGTCGCACTACCGACGATACGTCATGTAATTTATTTTGTCACGGAAAGTGTCGGATTTTTTGCACGTGGAATAATAATTATAATTAGCGTTGGGCAAACAAACACATTGAGATTGGCGCGGGCAGTGAAGTGGACGCTCATTATTCATCACCGTGCAAAAAAAATAAGGCCCCTGGGTGTTTCTAGCGTGGAAGATCATTTTTCAACGTGGATTTCAATTAATGCTAAAAATATTACAACAGCTTTTGGATGCACTATATTATGAGATGCTTTTATATAACAATTTTAGTAATTTTTCAAATTGTAATTATCAATCGATTACATGATATATACCTACAGGCAAACGAAAAAATAGTGATTAACACAGCTAAATTATTAACCTGCTGTCAATTATATCAAAAATTTATACTTTAAAAATTTTAAATGTGAAAATATTATTTCTTTACCATGTTAAAAACGATTAATGTATTTATTTTTAAATATATTTAAATTAAAAATTAGATTTAAATTTAAGTAAAATATAAAATTAATATATAATACTCAGAAATTAATATTAAATATTTATAAATTACAAAAAAGTTTGAAATAATTTTTTAAGTTTTTATTTAATATTGTTTTTTATTACCAGCCCTTCTCAAAAATTTAGTTTCAAAGGATTGATTATTAGGTTCGAAATGAGAGCAACTATGTCCCATACGTGAACTCATCCAAATAAATTAAAAAAACGAAATTCATTCTGACAAAAATAAAATAATGATAAAATACACTTGGTTGTTAATAAACGCTTTTGATCCTTGATATTTTTATAATAAAACAGCTTTCCTTACACTCCTTTTTTAAATCGCACGATCAAAATCTTGGGAAAAAATGCGATTTGTGATAAATGTCAAAAGTACAAACTGCTAACAAGCAAAACATTTTTTTTTACAGCACTGCTTTTTATGGATGGCCAATTCATGCCTATAGGTTACGCACTAAACTAATTATATACATTTCCCAACATGCAAATCTCTATTTAGCATCTCCGTACTTAAAAATAACAAAGCACTCGAACGTCCTAATCCTTTCCGCGATAAACAAATTTCTCCAATCGAAGAAGAAGAAGAAGCCACTTAATTTTCGCCTCTTATCAACACCCGAACCCATTCGTTTGAAAGCAATCTAGGTTATCAAACCAGATGTTGCTGCTCTATAAAAATATAAAAACTTACAGGCGGTAGGCAGAATTGATTACGTCCCGTTTCTATGTGTCGGCGTGAGTTAGTTGCGGCGACCAAGGTCTGGGTCACAGTGAAAGTTTTACACCTTGTTAAAGACTTGGTGTCTATTGTAATAACTCATTTATTTGTTTGAGCCGTAATGTGACGAGCGTTGTGCTTTTAAGAGCTGAAAGGAGATTGGCAAATTTGCACACTTGATCTGCGCCGTCTAATTTAATTAGGATATCCATCAGGTCGAATGAAATATTGCCCCATAGGTTATTGGTCAACTTTCGCAACTTTTTTTTATTCCGCTGCGATCAGTCGGAATTTAGATGTTTTCGCTAATTAGAATTATAAAAAAAAAATACTGCTGAGGTGAAAGTTTAGAAATGTATAAAAAATAAAAGTTCCAGCTGTTGACAAGTTGGAGCATTAATATGAGTAATCCTCGGTAATTACATATCCGCGGCTCAGGTGTATTATGAGGAAAGGAGTAATAACACGCTCGCGCTTGCAAGGCGAGCAATATGGATCTCGGTTTACTAGAAAGAAACTCGGTACATACCACATCATAATCACGCAAATAATGTCAATGTCGCGGCGATAAACGTGAGCCTGCGGAGGATTTGCAGTTCCCTGCGCTGGTAATTAAGTAATTACTTATGCGAGTGTGCTTACTACTTAGTTTGTGTATGACTAATATTTTGAGTGATTTCACATCATGTTCTGCGCCAGTGGGTTTTTTTTCAAGAAAGGTTACCGTTCCGGATCATGCAAGCAATAAAACTTTCAATATGTCGATTTTGTTTCTGTTAAGGAAGAAATTATTGCGTAATGTTATTTCATGTTTTTTTTTTTAAATTTGAAAAATAAGGAAATTTGTGAACTATCTAAATTTCTCCTCTTTCTTTGATACATTTCGTTTGACGTAGCACACAGACCTAAAAAATGAATACAGCAAAAAATGATTATAGCACGTATTAAATTTAGAAATATTTTTTATGTGAAAATGAAGGAAATCCGATAACGAAATTTTTTATCTCATTAAATTAATATTTTATGAATTTCAGTTCAGCTTTATAAATATTGATCTCAAATATATTTCCAAAGCGTAATTAACAAAGATAAACGAGATGAAAAAGAGAGACAATTTTATTTTCTATTACTTAGTGAATTTTATAGGAAGTATATAATTTGAATTATATTGCAATTGCAGCTAATTGAGTGACAATACAAATTTATCAGCTGGTGCTTGTTAGAGTTGTCACATGCAAATGCGATTAACAGGTTATATTATTTTTTGCTATGAACAATAAATATTCCATTGTTGTTGCTTTAAATTTCAAATTCAAATTATCTTTTTTGAAAAATTTATAATTTGATTCTAAAACTTGCAGTACTGATTCAATTTATGTTATAAAAAAATTACACGTAAAATACAGTGTAACTATGATTCTGAAGTTTATTACAACATAACCTTGGTTCAATCAAATTGCCCAGTTGAAATTTCATTAATAGTCTAGTTTTAAAATGATTTTATTTAATTATTTTGAAAGAGAAATTTCAAAATTAGATAGTTTAGGTCAAAGTGGTAGTTTTATAAAATTTGCAAAACATAATTTTTATTGCGAAAAATCTCTTGAGAGATATGAATTTTTATTCAAAAAGCAAAACATACAGAAAAACTCAGGCTAAAATTGTTTTCTTGGAATCGGCGGTTTTGTTGTCCGCTAAAATTTCATCGCTGTGAACGTTGGGGTCAGTGAGGCGTCCGGGCATCTTGAACGCAGGAAGACCGTAGTTCAAGTCCAGCCTTCTTGCTATCCCATCTTTGATATTGTGCTCTCCAGACTCGCTTTCGAGCTCTACAAAATCTTCGCCAAGTAAATCTTCCAAGCCGTATTCTTGCGGCTCATCAACTTCGGCTAACAACGGAGGCAACGGCCGACTGTCGTCCTCAAAAATTTCATCCTCGACTTCTTTGTTTTCAACTGACCTTCGCCTAATTGAGTGACTGGACTTTTCTGTGGTCTCATCGTCATCTTCTTCTTCGTCTTCGTCCTTGAGCATATATAATTAAAGTATTATTTTAATGCAATTTTATAAATTTCAATTTCAATTATTTATAATTCAAGTATATTCTTGACTACAAATGTTGTTTTGTAGCTGAAATATCTCTTTATTTAAAAGAAATAAGCTGCCTTGAAATTAATTGTATAGTTTAATTTCATTTTCTTTTTTAATTTGCGAGTTCTTTGAAAAAATAAATAAATACTTTTTCGGTATTTCATACCGATTTTTCCGAATCTTCGTCATCATCATCTTCTTCGTCGTCATCATCGTCGTCGCCATCGTCCTTGGAAGGCTTTTCTGCAGCATTGGCAACACTTGCAGGCTGAACATTTTCAACCGACCTTCGCCTAATTGCGTGTCCAGCGTCGCTATCAGTTTTCTCGTCCTCATCCTCGTCGTCGTCATCGTCCTGATAAAAATTTTTAGTGTCTTTTTTTTTACTCATAGATTTTTAGAATTTCCAGAAATTTATAAATAAAATATTGCCCCTTTAATATTAAAATATATATTCTAAAATTTAATTTTAATTTGTTTGATAATTAATTATGGAAAAATCTTAAAATATACCATCTTTTCTGAATCATCATCATCATCAGCTTCTTCCTCGTCATCATCATCTTGTTCTAAAACATCAGCAGCTTCATCCACACCCTTGATATTGTTAGGATCGGGTTCTTTGTGGCCGCCGATTTCCAAAGCCCATTCTGGTAGCTTGACCATACCTTGCTAAAAAAGAATACAACTGTGCAATTATTTTGCTACACAATTATCAAATGTATTAAATAAATTTGAATAAAATAAAATTTTCTTACACTTTGGGCATCATACATTGGAATCCCGGTGGAAACTGTGAGGGACACCAACACTAAAATAATTATTTTGTGGAAATTTAAAAAAACAAATTGGAAAGTATATGCACTGAAAGAGGGTTATAAAAAACAAGTCGTACCGAGGAATGCAAGTTTGAAGATCAACATTGCCTTGGAACCCATCGTGAAATTAAAACGGACTTTGAAGTTTCTCCCTGTATAAATGAAAAGTTGGGTATACTTTTGAAATTAGGAAAATCTGGCGTTGAAAGCGCACCTGTTGAACTGCGAGTGGCGTTGATGACTTTCTGACACGGAAAATGTTCGCGCAGGGAAATTTATTGTAACGGCAGGCGAGGGACGATAAAGTGACAACAGGTAAAGGGAAAACGCAGCACCGAAACCTGACATTTTTTGCTGATAACTCGACAAGCAGGAAGTAATTTCTCAGAATTTCACATCAAGCCTTCACATGCTAATTAGCCAGGGGGAAATTACAACTTATGAATAAGCGTAGGAAAATTGGCACTTTGACTTAATGAACAAAAGTTGCCCTTTTGGATTTTGGAACAGATAAGAAGAATTTAATCGTTGATTTGAAACAAAATTCCCTTATATTGATTTATTAATTTTTTAGCAATATTAAAAATAGTAAATAAAATGTCCTTGAATTTATCATTCCAATTTATGTGTCTGGACGGAGCTTGGAAAACCTTGAAAGATAATTTTATAATGAACACGAAAAAGATTTTTGTGCTGAAATTTATAAAAAATATCTTTTGGCACGTTTTCCAGACATTTTCAGTTGCTATGCAGTGCTACATATAAAATTTCAGTTTGCCAGGTCACGCAGGTAAATAATTAGAGGTTGGAAACAATGTGAAAAGAAAGCAATTTAGATACCGGTGGAAAATTAAATGCTTTCGGCATGTGAAAAAGAGAAACCACTTCCGTTCTCATTCTATGCACTATTATAAGAAACCATTTATTTTTTTATATTTTTTATTTGAAATTTTAAAATAAATTCTGTTTTGACGTATTATTTTGTTTTCAAATGCCTATTTGTTTTGGAGAATTTAAATAAAAAAAGTTACCACACCTGACAACAACGCGTGATATAATTTATTATTTATCCTTTGAACTTGAGTTTCTCTTTGTTCCTGCTCTGCGTTCCAGCTTTTAGGTTGACAATATTAAATACCTCATTTGGCCCTTACATCCAGTGCCATATTTCACACACCCTATATGCTCTGTGTCCTTCCAGCAGCTGCTTTCCTCGTTTGCATATTTCCTAATTGAAGTGTCAAAAACAAGCGCGCCGGCACGGAGGCGTAAAATTAACACGAGCTCAAAAACTAACAACACCTTTCTGCGTTTTACGAAATTTTTTAAAATTTATGTACCAGATTGTTTATGGAGCAGTGAAAAAAGTTTATACTTGTTTATGTATTTGAAACAACATTTATATTTGTAAGGAATTTTTTTATGATAAATCACTAAACGTTTTTGATTAGACTACGTAATTTTCAGAAAATGCTTTGTATTAAAAAATTACATTTTTTAATTTTACATAGTATTATTGAAACCAAAATTTTCATTGAAGATTCAATGCATATTTTAATATTTCCATACTATAAATAAATGGGATAAAGGAGAGAAAAACTTAATTGTTCCTAATTTTTAGAATGCTTCAACTTTATTAGATTTTTTTTTTTACTCATTACACCGGTATACATGGGTGTGAAGTCAGTTTGTAGGATGGACACACGTGGCACTTTCCGTTATAATATTTATAAATGGATCCCCTGCTCACGCAACGCCAGTACGCGGCTTCAGATCTCCTGTAGCGAGCGCCCTGCTGCACCTCTTCAAGCATCCCTTCGACAGCCTGATCCTCATTCAGCGCGCTTTCGTCTTCTGACACCTTTCAAGCCAAAGCACAGGTCAGTTGGCAAGGGGTCGTGGATTTATTTGCAAAAAATCAGGTGAAAAGAACACAAAATTTGACGGATTTTGGCGTGGAAAAAACTCGGAAAAGTCAAAAGCTTTCCCGGAAAAACGCTACTGTAGTTTCAACTTAGAAATGGAATATCTCGGGTTCTAATTGAGATACAGAAATGCGGCTAGCACCAAAAATTTTCTTTTTACCTCCTCTTCAATCCTGAGGGGTCAAATAATCCAGAGGTCAAAGGTCAAGGTCATTTTTCAGGGGTCACAAGTACAAAAAAAATTCTAGCAAAAATATGCCACCTTCGATTGGGCTGAAATTTTTTTCTAAGATAGTCCTAACATGTAGGAACAACATATTAAAAATTCAGAATGGCATATTTTTTAGATTTTTTATAAAAAAATCACAAAGGTAAAAAAACGTGAATTTTTTGTATTTTGCCAATGGTCGGATATTGATTTTTAGAATTTTTAAGAAATTTTTTGAAAATTTAGGAATTTTATGTCAATAAATAAATAAATTTACCCATTTTAGATACGTACTTTCTCAAAATAAATTTTTGATCATGAGCAAAATGCGAAAAATTCACGTTTTTTTACCTTTGTGATTTTTTTATAGAAAATCTAAAAAATATGCCATTCTGAATTTTTAATATGTTGTTCCTACATGTTAGGACTATCTTAGAAAAAAATTTCAGCCCAATCGAAGGTGGCATATTTTTGCTAGAATTTTTTTTGTACTTGTGACCCCTGAAAAATGACCTTGACCTTTGACCTCTGGATTATTTGACCCCTCAGGATTGAAGAGGAGGTAAAAAGAAAATTTTTGGTGCTAGCCGCATTTCTGCATCTCAATTAGAACCCGAGATATTCCATTTCTAAGTTGAAACTACAGTAGCGTTTTTCCGGGAAAGCTTTTGACTTTTCCGAGTTTTTTCCACGCCAAAATCCGTCAAATTTTGTGTTCTTTTCACCTGATTTTTTGCAAATAAATCCACGACCCCTTGCCAACCGACCTGTGCTTTGGCTTGAAAGGTGTCTTCTTGCAGTGGAACGTCAACGGCGGGAGCGGCGAGGCCGACGGCCACAACGGCGGCCAGCACCAGGACAGCGAAAACCAAACTCGACTTCATACTTGCAATTGAGAGAATGCGTGGAATTCTCGGAAGACCTCCACCTTATAAATACTCCTTGATTGTGGAAAACAATAAGAGGATGTTTTTAGCGAACACTTTTTCCACCGCAAAAAAGACAAAGTCGAAAACCACACACCACAATTTCACATGAAAATAACCCAGAATCAACACGATTCAGGATGAATTTTTTTTGAAGAGCAAAAAAATAAACTCTTTTATTGAATTATTATTGATTTTTGACATGACTGATTTTAAGACACCTGTTGACGCATCGACTCAAATTTAAAAAAATGATATATGTTTTTTTCGGTGCAAATACGTGTAATTAAGAATCAATGTCAATGTGCTGAAATTCGCTATTTTTATTTTCAATTATTTACATTAAAACTAACATTTTTTTGTTTACATGTTTGCATGAAAACTTTTGGGCTGATATCAGTTTGAATGAATTGACGATTCTTTGGAAATTTCAGATTTTATTGCATTATTAGTGTCATAAAAAAACCTAATACGATCTTATCTGGCACATAGAACACGATTTACTCGAGTCATCACAGAATTTTCAGAAATTATTTCAATTTTATAAAAGTGTGACTCAAATATAAACAGTTCATACCATTCCTGCGATGACTTGCCATTAAATGGTGTTGAGTCCACTCTAAATTAATCCTCTCTTGATATTATAGGACCTAGTATATAAAGCTTTTTACTATTATTAAAAAGTTGTAAAAATAATATCTAAGATTATTATATTTTACATGTATCTTATTTTTATTATATTTTATAGTTTGTCATAATTTTACAAATTTTAAATTAAACTTGCGTAATTAATATATTATTTATAGCATTTTTAATTAACTATTGGTTGCCTGAGCATTGTAGATAAAATAAAAAAATATTTAAAATAGCGCCTTCACAATTATTTAACGCATTCATAGAACTATCACTTCAGATATGAAATGTTTTGGTCATGTTGGAGTCTGGAGAATTTTATTTCATAAATTAAAAATAACCTCTAAATTATCATGGAAGTTGATCACATCAAGTTGGATTAGCAGTTTCATAATTACTATTTTTTACAATAATTAAATGAGAGACATTAATTATTAAATATAATTTAAATAATTGGTGTGGGTTAAGCGCCCTGGTCAAATCTCCTTTTGATGTCAGAGGCGTTTTAGCAGACACTTATCTCTGCTTTTTGACCCAATTTTCGTATGTTGAATTTCAGGACAAAAAAAAATGAATTTCAAATGCACAATATATATGCGTGTTTACAAATAATTTGTTTAAATAAACAATTTTCAAATTTTTTTGTTGAATCTAAAAAAAAATCGTAATTTGAAAATTCAGTTATTTTTTGCAACTCGCCCTTGAACAATATATGCATCTTTTTATTCGTTACTCCAATATTCCTCCACTCACTGTTGTACTCAGAATTTCAAAAGAGGACCGAAATCATTATTTATTTTCCGTTTCGTAATTTGCGTGTAAATATCAGTTACACAATCAGGCGGGAAGAGAGGAAGTGGGCGCGCAAAATTGGCGTTACATGCGCTGCTCGGGAGCGTTTTCCTTGGTATTGCGTCGGCCTTTTGTTGTCGGCTTGGGTGACGGAGCACACACAATTGCACGCTTAATCCGCAATAAAACACTCGCGCGCAACAAAACCCATACCCCTGGCACACACGCCACCCGCGCCGCACAATGATGGAGCACAATTGTATGCTGCTTCTTATTCTCGGGGAGAGAGAAAGCATAGGCAGAATTATTCTCGCATTGTATCGTCCCAACTTCGCTGTAATGCTGGGATAAAATTACTCATAAATAATCCAACCGCGTGCGTATTGTTGCACAGACACAAGGTTGGACCGAGTATGAAATATGCGAGTGTGTCTTTTCAAAAACGGGATAGTCTCTAACGCATATTGACCTTTGATATTTTTCTATGCATATCAACTCGCAGGGTTAATTGTAATCAAACACTGTGTTCGGCCATCAGAGTTAAAACGCTGCTCTATTTCCCCTAGATAAAAAAAAAATATAATTAATATTTGAGAATTTTCGCTATTTGAATGATTTAATTTTATAATTAATATTTCTTTCTTATTTAACTCTTAAATTAAAAAATAGAAACAAATTTCTTGTTTGATTTCAAGGAGTACTGCTGTTTTTATCAATCAACGAGAAAAAAAAACAATTGAAATTGAAGAATTAAATAATTATTACAAACATACTTTATTTCCGACAAAATAATTTCCAGTCATTTTATTCCAACTGATTGCGTTCCAACAGCTTCTCTAAAATGCTAAATAATTGCAACATTTCCTTCCACCGATTAAATTTCCAACCATTTCCGGTGACTCGACTATGTCAACAACTGAAACTTGGCTGATAACTGATATTTCTCGTACAAAATATTGTACTTATATATTAATTTTTTTATTATTGTTGTTTATTTGTCCAAATTGTTACATCACATTGTTTACAAACAAATTGTTGAAAAACATTTATTTTGGAAAAAAGAAATTGTTGGGACAAAACGGCACCACCACTAGCAAGAATTTTGCTAAAACTTCCGAGGCCAAAAAGACCCCATCCGCCGCAGTGAGCCTCAAATTTTCTTATCCATTTGTTTTATATTTTTAAGAAACATAAATTTGAGATATACATGAACACAATCTTTTGTATTTTGAGCTTAACTTTGAAGCAAAATTTAATTTTCTGATAAAAAAGAAAAAAAATGAAATATTTTAGCAATTATATAAATCAATATAAATAAAATAAATCTTTCTTCAATAAATGAACTTCAAGTTTCAAAAGCTTGAGCATCTCATCAACTCAGAAGGTTAATTGAGGTTAACTTTGGCTGATAGTTTAAGAAGCTTCCGTCAAAAATCCGCTCACTATCTTGAGTGGGTTCTTTCCTGCAATAGAGTTATAATCGCCAACTAATTGCCCAACAAACTACACACGCGTTGCACGATAAGACTATTACTCGCGTTTATGCTTTCCGGGGCTTCTTTAATTCTGCAGCAGGCAAAGATCACGAATTAGACCCGCCAACATGATTACACTATGAGCTCCCTGCGGATGCAGAGCGGCGCAGTCCTAGGTTTTCGCATTCAGGACGGTATTGTGTGTCCTCTTTTAGACTTTATTACATTGTGCATGAATCAGCCTCATTTGCCTCATTCAGCCTCACATGACTTTTCTTCTTCTTCTTTACTGAAAAAAAACTCGCCGACCCGGCGGAAAAGGAAAAGACCCTATTTTTTCCGCTATGCTGCGGTTATTCTCCGGCCTGTGCCAAACAAAACTGTTGATTTAGTCTGCGGCGGGGCAATAAACGGAGCGAACTTTCGCCGTCCATAATTTAATCGCTGACTTTTGCAAATCCACGCGCTGGATATATTGAATTAATACGCCACCCAAGTCGACGTGCAAACAGCGCCGGCGAGGCTTAAAACAACACCAGCGAGCAAAAAATAAAGAGTTTTAAAACAAGCTTCGCGCTTACTGGGTTTTTTTTTTTTTTGCAGACCGCGCTGGCATATAATCAAATAAAATACAATGAAACAAAGGTTTTCTGAATTAAATGTTAATTTTTTTCAAGTTATACCTACCAATATAGTTAAAAATATTCAAAGCTTCTTCTCACGATTATGTTAAGTACAATGTGCGTGACAAGGGAACTCGAAATAACTATTTCAGGCTACAATTTTCAAGAAGAATGAAATAATGATTCGAAAATTACAAACATTAGAAATATACCGGAAGTGATTTACTTTTGAATCAAAGAGCTTTTTGTCTTCTTTCTGAAAATGATAAATCAAAATATAATTGAATCTTAATTTTTTTCTTCTCCCATATAGCAGCTGTAGTAGTATCAAAATAATGAAGATTTAAAACACTTATTTCACTTTCTTCATAATCTGTTTCATCTTTTTATTTGAAACAACCTCACTTGCAACATTTATTTTCACGCTTATTTTTTGTGAGATAAATTTATCCTTTCTGCCAAGTTTTGCTTTAAGTTTTAGATAATTTTTTTTTCTAATTAGTGCTTATTTTATTTTTAAATAACCGAAAAACTTTGAGAACATCTACAGATCCCAAACTCTTTAAATGTTCATCAATATCAATATCATCATAATTAACTAATACTGCGTGTTGGCTGTAGTTTAAATTTTTTTATTTACTAATATAAATTTGCATAATTATGTGATATCTGGTGAATGAGGGTCAAATGTTTATAAAAAGATTAAAAATGTTCAAGTTTTAATAGAAAATAAATTATTTATGTATAAATATAAAACAAAAACACAAAAAGAGTTTATGATATAAAATTTTTATGAAATAATATTGTTATTATAAATATTGTAATTTTTTTTCTCTCTCTTAATGTAAATAAAATGAAATAACTTTGAATGTATGATCGATGAATCTCGATATGGGCAGCTAATGCCTCTGTGATATCAATAAACATCATTTGCAACTAAAATTAATTAAATTATTTTGAATTTGGCAGAGCAGATAATGAAGGAATTTCAGGAGGAATTCAACATTTTATTGCAGCCTCACATAACTCTCTGACATCTGACGTAAATATTCAAATTTTATACGATTGGTATTTTGAATAAAAAAAATGAGAGGATAAAAATCAACAACTACCAGAATTTTTTATTTACATTGCCAAAATTGAAAATTTGAACAGCTCATGAACGATTTTCCGATTTTAATCTAAAATTAATAATTGATGTTGATTAAAAGATATATCATTACACCAAAAATAAATCAACTAGCAAATTATATTATTTCGCCCTCAAACCATTTGATTTACACCTGCCGAGTTTTCCAAGCAGCGTGTCGGGAAGCAGCAGGTGCGAAAATGGCAAAGGTCACTCACCTAATAGCCCTCCCGCCCGCCCACCCGGTTGAGTCGTGCAGAGTCCGCGAGCGAAACTCACTCACTCGCACCCCCGCTCGCGACAAAAAGCACACTGTCATTATTATTGATGGAGTAGTCCTTGGGCGAGTCACC